ACGAATACCTACCGAATTTCATCGAAAAATATTCACCGGTTTTCAAGATATTAGACTTTTACTTTTGTTTACTTTTTGGGATCTCCGCTGTTCCTAGCGACTTTATTTGAAAGTGCGGCATTTGTTGCGCGCAAAGCAGCATATACCACCGCGTGCTACCAAACGTTTTAGTAAAAGATTTAAAAATCGTTAGATCTCCGCTGACGTCACAAATTCTAAGGGGGCATACCAATGCACTAGCCCCTTAGAATCCGAAAACTGCAAGTTTGAAATTCCATATCTCCGAATTAAAGCATTTGTCGATGTTGTGAGTGCCCAAACCGGTATTTGCAGGCCATGGCCACCAATTTGGCTATCTCAACTCAAAACTAATGTTAAGGTGGGAGTGTCCCTTTAAAATCGCACCCGTCCGGTGCGCCACCTTTTCTTCAGGGGAGCTCTTCTTGGTTGTATCTGTTCTTACCAATAACTAAAGCAAATCGAGTGTATATAGGCATACCTCAAACACAGTTTTATTCACATCCGCTCGTGTGCATACTTGTTTTGACCTATACCTTCTCGCATTATAATATATCACTTCAGTGCTTAACCCTCAACGAAATTTTGGGTTTTCTGCATATACCCCGGCCGAGGGGGGGGGGCGATTACGACCCCTCTTCGTCTTTTTGCCCCTAATTGAGCTAGCGCCTTGCGGATAAACTTGAGCGCGTGCGTCGTATGAGATGCAGCAACTGGTACCCGAGTTGAATGTCTCAGAGTCAGGTCCACCGATAAACTCTGAGGTTAGTATAAGTGCTCCAAGTCGCGGGATCGGTTTTTGGTAAACAACTTCACCATAAGTGGTTACAGAGCCAAGATAATGGCACCATCGAGTTTTGCATGCTCAAGCGCGTCTATACGCTTTGTTTTTGTTGAGGTCAATTTAAGGTTTTTACCTCAGGTCATGTCAGGGCAGAGCCACTCAGGCCACGAGGCTGGCTCAAGGTCATATCGCTTCTTCGATTCGGTAGGTCCTTACAAGGCCACTGGTGGCTTCCCGACTCGCTAGCTCAATTTGATCGGGACTTTTTGGTGAAATCTCCTGTGACCTTAGTGACGTCATAAATGAAGTCGCCTAACTTCAAGAATGGAAAAGTGAATGCTGGGGCTTGCAAATATTGTATGAAATCGCGAATTCATGCGCTTGAGACAGCTTTAGATGGCTCCCGGCGCCAAAATAACAGTTTTCATATTTTGCGTTGCGTGACCGAGAGGTTGCGTGACCGACCTGACTTCAGGTGACTCTTAAGAAAATACGAGATAGCTACATACAAGTTGTGAGGCCTCTGGGAGATAGTACTAGATCATATAAGCTTCATTCCCCGTTGAAAAGTCCCCTGGCACGAAGGGTGCTGCGACGTCGCGACATTTTGGGACCTTACAGAGATTCACTTTTGACGTCATTGGTCAACGGCCTGACCTTAACCTTCGCACTTGTAGGAGGGTGTCGAACAGACCTCCTACTCTCAGTTTTTCGCAAATAACTCGCGCAAAAAGCGGCTGATTGCGACGAAACTTTCAGTACCTTCGAGTTAATCAATATTACGCCTACCCTTTAATTTGCATGACCCTGGCTCAAAAGACCTTTGACTTGTGACCTGTTTTCCGAGACCATGTTTGGCCGGAATCGCGTTTTGGCGTATTTCGAGTAGAGCGCGTTTTATTGTCTTTTTGTGGCTTTAAGCGATCAAACATGTGAAAGGTTGATCCCATGGATTCTAGTGGGTATCAAGGTCACGTGAAGGTCAGTCAGGTCACTGACCTTTGATGACCTTTGTTCACTCTTTCGAGTTCTACATGTTTTTAGGGTAGATTTTGGAGTTGATTTCGCATTTAGAAACCGTTTGAACATTTCAGAAGTAGTTTTGGTTCCCTCGTAACATGTGACCTGACCAGACCTGGTCCGACCTGGCCTAAATGCACAAAAACATCATCTGTGATCACTTGAATTTCGTGATCAGCACCCCGCAAAACCCTATAACAGCTTCACTTTACGAAGCTCTACAGGTCCCGATTCCCCGACTTTTGAGTTATATTGACCTGTCAACCAATGACCTAGGACCTTAAAATTGGGTATCATCGGCCTCCTCTCGTCACGGGCAACACGTTCTTATTCCGCGAAGCTCTAGCTCGATTAGGGGCTGAACGGCAAAGGGGTCCAACGGACCCTCCTACCTTCGAGTTAATCAATATTGACTTTATATAATATTGACTTATTACCCACGCTAGTCTATCGGCACCATAGCACATGGTCGAGACTGTCGTCAGCCACGGATGCGCTACGATAGACGCTGGCAAAACACCAATATGGGCGAGGGTGAAAATACAGCTGCTGTCATAAAAATTCAGCTTGAATCAAAGGTCAGGCTTGCCAAATTTCAGCTCTCGCAGCTATCAAAAAAAAAAAAAAAAACGTGGAGGCGGCACCCGCCTCCCTCCTCCCCCCTCTCCTCTCGGCCACTGCCAGCGAGGTTTTAAGCGTATCATACATGTTACAAAGCATCATATCAAGATGACACACCCCAGCAGCCATATGCACTGAACAAAAACTTATTACCCACGCTAGTCTATCGGCACCATAGCACATGGTCGAGACTGTCGTCAGCCACGGATGCGCACTCGACCAACCCTCTGAGCCCGTTGACTGCGGGTGACCTTGACATGTCAAGCCTGATCGGCGGCCGGCCGCTGTCGTGCGGTCGTTACACGCGGAGGGGAGGGAGACACAAAGTTCTACGTTATAGCTGACCTCTGACCTTTCCCTGCGCCCTGGTCACTGACCCCGCTCCATGTCGCTGGGCGGTCGCATGGCGGTGGAAACCGGTTCTAGCCTCTACACATGCCACCATTCTAACCCTCCCCTCCCCACGCTACTACGCGGCGTGGAGTACGCTCGTGCGTAACTGGGCGGAGCAAGGGGTCACGCGATACAGGGGCGGAACTGGTTGCCCTCCCGCTCGCCGAGCGACCAACGACTAATACCCTGGAGAACCGTACCTATATATGGACAGGTGGGATAGTCACTGGGGTGATATACAGTGGTCAGTAACGAGGTTTGAAAGGCTGAGAGGGACCTTTGGGGAGGGGGGTTCCAAATGGGCCAGATTTAAAGGTATGTGCTCAGAGGCTGAGGCTATATATCAACAAGTGTTCAGTGCAAGCGAGTGAATCTTACGACTTGCGAGCATGTAACGAAAAACGAGTACAATGCACCACATATTGCATTCTTCTTCGGCATTGCTGCACTACATTGAAGCCGATTGATAGAGGTCAAAACTGATATTTTATTTTAGCGCTAACATTGGATTCATGAGTTCTAAGTAAACACAACATTGCGCGTTTTTATTTATTGGACCGAACGCTGGAATGCATGTGACAGTGCAGAACATACGTTTCAGAACAGTTACCCCTCCTTGCATCAACCAAACATGCAACGCAATGACAGCAAGCGGATCAAATATAAATAGCTGATTTTTCAGCAAGTAAGGACGTCTCTTGTCTAACATTATACGACAAGGAAGCTTGAAGCTTGAATATATTTTTTATAGCTGATTACGAACCGAAATTGTTGGCTTCATGTCCTAGTCTATCTCTAAAATAAAGCTAAAAATACAGATTCAAATGGGTGATGCATTAAACGGCTATTCTAATCTGCCCCATACCTACTCGTACGTGAGCTCACAAATAAGCTACCATACCCCCTTTGGGGTTCCAACTAGTAAGGTGCCTAATTAGCGACCCACTTAATTTGAACCGTCATTGCTCACGCTCTGTGGGTGCCACTGTATTACTGGCTTGATTTTCGGAGAGACCGTTCATTTTTCTATTAAAATATAGTCATTTTCTGCCCCAATATTCACTAACTTATTTGTAGTGAGCATTTTGGCAAACCATTGCAAAAAACGCTAATAGGGAACTCTTCCCGATTAGCGACCGGGGAGGGTCGCTAATAAGTCTATGGGTTTCCCCATATTAAAAATGGCAAAATATGCGACGCCTGAAAAGATGAAATATGATCTCAAAAAGGTAACCTATACGCAAAGCACTCAATCACTCGAACAGGAACGTTTATCCAACACATTTACGGAAGTAAAAACTGATCACGTGATGCACCGAAAGGCGAAAAGAAGGCGGAAACCCAAATTTTGCGGGCTATCTCGTATGATATTCGAGGTCCGCGCTGAATTCGGCACCCCTGCAGTCGGTGACGACATTTGGCATCCCCTGCCACACATTGCAAGCTTCAGCAACACCTCATTTTCATTTCTCTCTTTTCCCCTTTCTTTCCCTTCTTGAGCTATTTGCGACCATGTCAGGCGCAAATAGAAAATATGAGTTGCGACACATTTTTAACCGCCATGCTGTGCACAGTTGAGCGATTCACTATGGGAAAACGGCAATCAATTGAAGAAGGAACGTCGATTCAGAATAAAAAAGGTGCATCATCCTAATGTGCATCGCTTTTCATCAGAGAGGGCCCAAACACACCCGTTTTGGATAAGAAACTCGTCATTTTTATTTAAACTCACCTGAAACGTCCCACCAGAAACATCGACGACCGGAAAATAATTTAATTTGATAACCAGAGTATGGCTGACCTTTTGACGATATTTTTACCCCGTTTTCTCCTGCCAGTTTTTCTGTAGGGAGGTAGGTCGCAAATCGGAAAGGGTCGCTAATTAGGCACCTTACCCCATAGGTACAACTTCAGTAAGTGTTGTAACTTCACACAATCTCAAAGCGGCTAAGTCTATTCTAAATCTAACAGCGTAAAATCTAAAGCTTATTCTAACACTACGACCCCATCAACACGACAGAAAAATTACATTCAAGTCACGAATCCAAAACCAGCCGGCTGCAGTGAATCCCGGTAGCGGGGCTCAGCCGCGCTCGGGTGCACTGAGGGCCGGCCGTCAGGCTTCCCCGGTTTCGGTCTGAGAGTTGAGACTGTATAGGCCGTCACAGTGTAGTCTGGGACGGGTGATGGGACGGCGAGTGCGAGAGATATACAGTGGACACCCGTGACGAGTAGTGATAGTGTGTGTTGACAAACACAACAGCTTCAAAGACACATTACGTGCTACAATCAACATCCAGCACCGACTTACGAAGAACGATAAAGCAAATCACTCGCCTAAGCGGTGTGTCGATGCCTTGACATAACTATCCTCTCAGAGTGAGTGAGCTAAACGCTCGTGCTGGGACTGGTGCCAACTGCTACTGCACAGTGCACGTGCCTCACGAGCCGCTCAGGCCTCAGCTCGTGGTGCCCCGCGGCCCGCCGGCGGCACGTGAGCCGGATATTCAGAGGACCGCGAGTCTACAGTGTCCGGGCACGACGATCCAACTCACCGCGCTCATGTGCGCTAATGCGCTAATGCGCCGCCGACAGGAGGCTTCTGTGTTCTGTGATGCTGGCACTGCTCCGGATATGCAGCTGGTGCAGGTGAGAAAGGGCCGAAAGCAGCCGAAAATTTGAAACAGTAAAAAAAAGACAAGTTTAAGCTACCATAGACGATTGGTGAAATATGTTGGTATGCATGAGTATGAAATAATTATTTTTGTCAGTCCAAAATCATATATAAGCATTCATGGAATGCCCCATTGCACAATGCACAAGCACCTAATGTTTAAATCGTTTAGATTGGTTGAAAGGGGTCGGCCATCAAAAAGGGCATTTAAATCCGTTATTGCGTCTCCTGCCAATTTCCAATTCAAGGCATGTTGTCCACGATCTTGATTTCTGAAACACTCATCTGGCTTCTCCCAGCTTTCGATCTTTTCGTTTTTTCCTCAAGCATGTTCAGAATCCCGCTCAGCATTTCAACTAGGGTAAAGAAGGAAAACCCAGTGAAAAGCCCAATGAAACCTCCGATGTTGGCGAAGAGATCAGGAACACTGACCGCTAGTGATTCGGCGAAAACATCTTCGGTGAAGTCAAAAGTCAGAGTGATGAAGGAGATACACTGGTTCAAAGACTCCCCGGAGAAGGTCTTCTTCTCTGTGAGGGTGTACGCTGTGTGCTGACAAGAGTCCGGGCATGAACAGTCTGTTTCGTTGATCTCAAAGGTCGTTGCCGGTAAAAATGAGAAGGCCTCAGGAGGAAGAGCAGACGTCCGTGAAGGAGGAGGTGGAGGAATATATCCGGATGAAGTTATTTGTGACGATGATACGGCTAATGTCGTCAAGGTAGCCGGCTGCGATGTTTCCAAGGCTGACGAAGTTGTTCTGTCTGGAGGCGAGGAAACTCCTTCCGTTCTTGCCGACGAGACCTTTCCTCGCGATGTATAGAGAACATAGTCTTCGACCAATCCCGTTAGATGCATTTGACTGCCCTGGGAAATGCACGCTTCACTCAGACTAATGGAACCATCGTGCAGCAGAGAGGTGTTTTCCCGAACAGCCACTGTCGAGCAGAGTGGCACATGCTCCATGAAACCACCTACGTCGGGCAGGAACGTCCCGGGCCCGACCATGTGCGGCATCCTGCAGCCTGCACGTGCCACCAGCCGCCTCCACTGGCACTCCTTCAGACACTGGGTCCGCGAGTAGCCGGGACGGGACGAGCACGGCCTCCGACGCACGCTGACTCGCTCGGTGCGGCGAGCGGAGATCGAAAAGTGGACGTACTTTCCGGGAAACACATTCTCGTTGGTCGTGTAGGGAGCCCAATCTGGAAGGTCATCGACGTTGAGTACTTCACCGTCGTGAACGAAAAGACGGTACGAGGACTCAAGCATTCCGCCGGACAGGTATGATGCAAAAAGTGGAGAACTCACCACTTCAATAGTCAAAGAATTTCGTCGGCATGCTTCAATATTTATAACTTCATTTGCTTCAAAAGTGACGCAGCGAATGAATGCTACACTTTGTAACCTTGGATCCGTGAGCAGAACCTGCCAGTAAAATCTTTCTCTCCATGTTCCAGGAATCTCCAGGCCAACCTTGGCTACATTTTCGTTCCGGTATACCGTGACAAGAGAGTCGTTATACTTGAGGTTAAGAGTAACTTTGTCGTACAGCTCTTGGATGCCGATGGACCCGTTTGCCAGCCGATGAAACGCGGGAGCCATAAGAAAAGGCGGGGCTGGACTTTGTGGACAGAGAGTGATGCGCGGATACCGACTTGGACCTCGCGACACCGATGTGAGAACGACCTGCGAGCTGTACAGCAGACATTGCTGGATGACGAGAACAGTTAGGACGCTGACCAGTCCCAGCTTCAGGATCCGCTGAAGAGTAGGAAAACACATGGTGAGGTGCTTCTCCGCCACCGACGGAACGAACTCGCGCTCTGACTTTCCAAGCCAGGGTATTTCCAATTTCTAGCACAGCGGTCCAATGTTCTTAAATGAACTGTGAATCGACCAGCTACTGTCTGATGGTCCTGCTAACGTCAACAACCGCCGCCGTCATTCAGCAAGAGTTGCCGCAAACAAATGCACTTTTGCCTGGCAGTTCATAGTGTCAATTTTGCATGCAAATGACAGCGTCTCTATTTAGCTTATGCCGCGCTCATGGAAAGCAAATATTGAGAGGCACGATGTTCTCGTTGACTCGTTATCAAGTCATTTCATTCCCTCTGCCCCAGATCGATACAAGTGATGTGTGAGCTAAATGGTAAGTGGTGCTTTGATGCTGTAGACTGTGCACCAGCATGGGATTTTCATGGGCTAAGCTGCGGTTTAACAGATGCCCTACCTAGCCAACCCCTTTTCTGGCTAATATTTATGATGAGAGGTTAGGGTTTAAGACATTTTTTTATTTCAGAGATTTTAAGTCTGGATGCTGCATTCCGTATCAAATGTAAGACAGCTCGAAATAAGAAAATTTGAACTTTGTTGTGCCATTTAACACAAATATTCGAAAGCAATTTTTTTTTTCAATTGAAAGCAACCGAAACATTGGATTTAATTTTCCGACGCATAGAGCTCAAACTGTTTTTCACCAGAGACACAGCCTCATCCAACATTCCCACCAAAGTAAACAAAGAAAATCCAGTGAAAAGTCCGATAAAACCTCCTATTCCCGCAAGCAGTTCAGAAAAACTCATAGCCAGAGATTCTGCAAAAACCTCCTCTCTGAAATCGAATGAAAAAGTGATATAAACATAGCACTTGTTCCATCCGCTGGATGTGGATTTCTTTGTTACGGTATATTCTGTCTGATGACATTGATAAGGACACGCACAGTCTGTGTCGTTGATTTCAAAGATCGCTGCCGGGAAAAATGAGAAAGATTTTGGAGGAAAAACGAACAGAGGAGGTGGCGGTGGCGGCGGTGACGGCGGTGGCGGCGGCAGTGATGGCGGTGGCGGCGGTGGCGGCGGTGGCGGCGGTGGCGGCGGTGACGGCGGTGACGGCGGTGGCGGCGGTGGCGGCGGTGGCGGTGGCGTTTGCAGCGGTGGCGATGGCGGTGGCGGCGGTGAAGAGTACATCGAGTGACCTGGCGAAAGAGTTGCCGTCACTAGTGAGGTCTTGTTGCTCAAAGATAAAGACGTCATTGCGAAGTTCTTGGCTTGTCTTCGTAGTTCAGAAGATAAAGAACCCTGTTCTCTCGATTCAAATAGAAGATAGTCTTTGATTAGGCCCGTTAGAAGCATCTCATCGTTGAAATTCAAACATGGTGTTTTCTGATTGACGGAGCCCCCTTCTTTCAAGGGCGTGTTTTCCGAAAGAGGAACTGTCGAGCAGAGAGGCACGTGCTCCATGAAACCACCTACGTCGGGCAGGAACGTCTCGCGCCCGACCATGTGCGGCATCCTGCAGCCTGCACGTGCCACCAGCCGCCTCCACTGGCACTCCTTCAGACACTGGGTCCGCGAGTAGCCGGGACGGGACGAGCACGGCCTCCGACGCACGCTGACTCGCTCGGTGCGGCGAGCAGAGATCGAAAAGTGGACGTACTTTCCGGGAAACACATTCTCGTTGGTCGTGTAGGGAGCCCACTCTGGAAGGTCATCAACGTTTGGTACTTGATCGCCGTGAATGAAAAGACGATACGACGACTTTTTAAATGTGTCCGACAGAACTCCTTCGAACAGAGGCGACGACACAGCAGCGATGTATAAGGCATATCGTCGACTCGAAGCCGTATTCCAAGCGTCACCCGCTTCAAAAGTGACGCAGCGAGTGAAGGCGAAACTCTGTCTTGTATCACCCATGGCGAAGAACTGCAGGTAATATTTTTCTCGCCATCGCCCCGTACGATTTCTTTCAAATCGAAGCCCTTTTTGATCCATGTACCAGGTATCAAGCGCGCCATTATTGTTCATGAGATAAAGGGTGACTTTGTCGTACAGCTCTTGGATGCCGATGGACCCGTTTGCCAGCCGGTGAAACGCGGGAGCCATAAGAAAAGGCGGGGCTGGACTTTGTGGACAGAGAGTGATGCGCGGATACCGACTCGGGCCTCGCGACACAGATGTGAGAACGACCTGCGAGCTGTACAGCAGACATTGCTGGATGACGAGAACAGTTAGGACGCTGACCAGTCCCAGCTTCAGGATCCGCTGTAGAGTAGGAGAGCACATGGTGAGGTGCTTCTCCGCCACCGACGGAACGAACTCGCGCTCTGACTTTCCAAGCCAGGGTATTTCCAATTTCTAGCGCAGCGGTCCAATGTTCTTCAATGAACTGTGAATCGACCAGCTACTGTCTGATGGTCCTGCTAACGTCAACAACCGCCGCCGTCATTCAGCAAGAGTTGCCGCAAACAAATGCACTTTTGCCTGGCAGTTCATAGTGTCAATTTTGCCTGCAAATGACAGCGTCTCTATTTAGCTTATGCCGCACTCATGGAAAGCAAATATTGAGAGGCACGATGTTCTCGTTGACTTGCTATTAAGTCATTTCATTCCCTCTGCCCCAGATCGATACAAGTGATGTGTGAGCCAAATGGTAAGTGGTGCTTTGATGCTGTAGACTGTGCACCAGCATGGGATTTTCATGGGCTAAGCTGCGGTTTAACAGATGCCCTACCTAACCAACCCCTTTTCTGGCTAATATTTATGATGAGAGGTTATGGTTTAAGACATTTTTTTTATTTCAGAGATTTTATGTCTGGATGCTGCATTCCGTATCAAATGTAAGACAGCTCGAAATAAGAAAATTTGAACTTTGTTTTGCCATTTAACACAAATATTCGAAAGCAATTTTTTTTTCAATTGAAAGCAACCGAAACATTGAGTTTAAGTTTCCGACGCATAGAGTTCAAACTGTTTTTCACCAGAGACACAGCCTCATCCATCATTCCCACCAAAGTAAACAAAGAAAATCCAGTGAAAAGTCCGATAAAACCTCCTATTCCCGCAAGCAGTTCAGAAAAACTCATAGCCAGAGATTCTGCAAAAACCTCCTCTCTGAAATCGAATGAAAAAGTGATATAAACATAGCACTTGTTCCATCCTACGCTGGATATGGATTTCTTTGTTACGGTATATTCTGT